CCTGACTTGCCCTTGCGTGTGTTTGTGACGGGTGTAATTTGCGAACACCTGGTGTCATCACCATTTGACTGTGATTAAACAACGCATGCTTATCATATACTCACCAACATTGAACACGCACCACTTACAAAGGTTCAGATTACTAAAAGCACGTGTAAGCAAGTGTAATAACAGATGGACGACTGACAAAAATAACAACACAGAAAAGACGCTCATTCCTTCAATTGTTCCACAGTCAGAAAGGATCAAACACACGTGGGGTCAAATCGAAAAGTCAGTATCGTGTGTGACCGCCATTTGCATTGACACATGCAGTGCGTCGTCTCATTGAGGCAATAAGGACAGAGTTCTGGAGGATGGCGTTCCACTTCCGCAGTAGTGCAGCCTCAAGTTCCCGGATGTTTCGCATCTGTTGTCGCCGCGACAGACTGACCAATTTCGCCCCACAAGTGCTCAATGCTCAGATACTGCATGGAAAGTCTAGCTGTCTGTGCCCGTGCGTTGTCCTGCTGAAAAGTGATTAAAGAATGGTACGACGTGATTCTGAAGAATCTGGTCACGGTTGTAAAGGGCATTAACTCTCCCTTGACAGATATGAGGGGCAGTCGTGTGATTGTAACTTATTCCAATCCAGACCATGACACTCCCAGCACTCCCACACACTCATCAGCATAACGTTCACGACGTCTACGCCAAAGACGTAATCGGCCGTCAGCATTACGTAGATGAAGACGTGACTCGTCAGTGACTACCACACCATGCCATCGTTGTAACCTTTACTGAACATGCCTGTAGGCCCATTTGACACGCTCATTACGGTGTCTGTCAGTCAGAATTGGTCCAACGTAAGGACGTCGAGCATGGAGCCTGTAGCGTATAGGCGGCGTTGCAGGGTGTCAGCGCTGATGACCCCACGTCGACCTTGAACTAGTGCAGCAGTCCTGGCAGTCGGCAGTGTTCGATCACGGATATGGTCAAGGTCAATATGGCGATATTCGTGGAAGGTCACTGCCGATCTTCTGATGTCGTCTATGAAGCCTAACGATGGTGGAGCGGCCAAGTCCAAGTTGTGGAGCAATATCCCTGCTGCTGCTGGTGCCAACCTGAATCATGCCTTGTGCACGCTCTCCGTCGTGAGGTGTTAACCTCGACATCTGTCCTCGTTTCACAATCGTTAGTGAAGCCACAGGGGCTTGTATTGCTGAAACTAATACGTCCTGGGTCCTACGAGCTTACACTGATATCCATATACATATAAAGAAAGATATCAGTGTACGCTTGTAGGACCCAGGACGTATTAGTTTCAGGTTCTCATACACCTCGTTTAATGTCACAGTCACAGAAATTCGCGCTTTTTTCATGGCGTGGCTGCATGTTGATGCGTTTTGGAATTATGAGTAATACTGTGAAAAGGAGTTTCTATCTACAGCATTTTTTCAACTGGACATGCCCTTCGCCTTCATGTTAGCTATATTCATTGATCATTGTCATGCTGAAATCCATTTTGATGAAAATATGGACAATTTTAGACTGGTGCGTTTTCAACCTGTTATTATACAGTCTGGGTCGTACAAAGGAATTCTCACGAGTTTCAAGAAAAGTGGTGAAAGTCCTGTATAACATAAGACGTTTATACAACATCAAGTTTACAGGCGCGGCGACTGATTTACAACACAAGGTAGTGTTGCTGAACAAATACCACACGGAATTCACTTCCGGTATGCTGACGTCAGTATCCCTCTTCCTTCCTCAAGCAAGGGTTTTATTCACGTGCATCTGCCAATCTGAAACCGGAAATATTTTCTCGCCTGACCCAGCGGAAAACATTTAATTCGTGCTCATGTAATTCGTGTCAAACAACCACTCATCATTTATATACGTGACTGAATACAGGAGGCTTTTTATTCTTTTCCTTTCTTTTGGTCTCCATTGAAAGTGTTTGTCAGTGATCTTCTCAGACACGTAGAATTATCAGACCGAAACTAGCCGGCGTTGCTAGCTTGGCATAATGGAGTATTTAGCTTAAAAACATAAGATATTAAAAATCGAAAATAAATAGAGAGAAAAAGAGACTGACAAGTTTTTTTTATATCATCTACATTAAAATTCGCTTTGAAAATATGTAAAACTTACAGCAAGCATTTGCAAGTAAAAGCGTCCCAAGCCTGGGTTACCAAACAACTGAAAGCGTATGTGAGCGGTTGTCTTTACAGTTTTGTTTCAAATAATCGAGACTGGACTGGACCATCCCGGGTTTGACGCCACGACCAGCGATATATACCATTGGGATACGATGTGACACCCCAAGTCAGTGAGCCTGACCACCCGATCCCGTCAGTCCCCTCTTAGAAGCATTGTTGCTGAAGATTAATTCTAACTCGGATCTGCAGGGAAGTTGACATGACACACAACCCTGCAATGAATCCTAATGGAATAACTCTGTCGAGTAACCATCAAGGCATCGTTCATCAAGGATAACTCGGGTCTCGGGTTCATCAAACATACCTGTACACCAGATGATGACACAATCTACCTGATATATGCAGTAACAGTGTTGTTGAAGATGCCTTCACAGTCGGGTATATCAAGGCCTGCACTTTAGCTGGCTTTTCAGCAATATGTTTCTTGATGTACAGGGGCATAACAGTTACTTTTGCCCAAACCCTGTATCATACGCAAGCTCAACATTCAGCTTTGTTACATTCTCAATGCCCATCAGAATTCAAATGTTCTGCTATAATGTATCATGGAAGTTGGGAAGACCACCTGACCATCTTACTGTACCTACCTTGTACATGTACTTCCATTAGGTATGTGGACTCTTATCTGTGTTTATACTACTTATTGGTGTCCATAAAAGTGCGACTGCTTAAGTTTATGTTGAAAAATAACCTTTGATCATGATCAGAGTGAATCTGCGAAACAACCCAAAATAATCAGGTCCTGGCAAGCCAAAGGGACGCAACTCATCATTGCTAACTTTAGCACCTCAGCTGACTGGCCATGGGTCCTGCCTTGTATGAGTGAGCGAGTATGGTTTTACGCTACTTTTAGCAATATTCCAGCAATATCACCATGGGGGAATAGAAATGAGCTTCACACATTGTGCCCATGTGGGGAATCGACCAGGGTCTTCGGTGTGATGAGCGAACACCTTAACCATTAGGCTATCCACCACTCACTCGAAGTCTTGCATGAAGAGTAAGTATGTGTTAATTACAAGCGAAACTAGCACATGTAGTTCATCTATCGGCCATTAACTGGCATCACAATATTTCACCAGACTTCATGAGCTGGTGTCAGAAAATGTTCTTATACTTGTAAACCAAGTATTAGCCAACCAAATTGTTGCATTCACCACTAGTATAAGATAGGGGAGGAAATCCCAGTAACCACGGTGACGTGAATGATTTGATGAAGCATGACTGTGTCACATTGATCTGTTCTCACTTATTATTTGAGGGGTGGTGGGGTAGCCTAGTGGTTAATGAGTTCGCTCGTCACTCAGAAAACAAAACTCACTCACTCACTCTTATTTGTGAAGATCACCATGTGTATTATCAATGTTAATCTTTTCAAATCCTTTGAGAACACCATATTCATTTGCTTGAAAAAAGAGCAGTGTCTCACTGACATAATATGGTTGACTTTAGAACACCACTTAAAGACATTTAGAAGTATTTTTGTTGAAAGTTTTAGGATATAAAACTTGCCTCCTATACCTTCAGGTTAGTGGTTTATGATTTATCAATTAATTAACATATAACAATACAAACATTAAACTCTTCAGGTAATTTGGTTTGTCTTAACTGACATCCCACCCCAACACACCCCCACCCACTACAGAAGACAAATAGTCCTTTGATGCTATCCCACTAAGTAGAACGGGCCTAGAAACAAAACTATTTTCTTTGCCATTTGAAACTGCCTGTTTGTATCTTCTGATACCGAAATCAGATGTAATTTCGAATTTCACTACTCACTCATAATTAGAGGTTAGAGTGGAACTGGGGAATGGACACATGGAAACATGGAAACACTTCCAATACAAGTGCAGGTCTCAACCTGTACACTGGGGATGTAGAAACTGGTTGGAAGAGGAAGTCCTCTTCTGCATAAGAACTATTTAATAAGTCATGCTCTTCGTTAAGTCGCCAACTGTCATACATGGAATTACACTTTCTCAGTACACGAGTCAGTAGTGGCAACAGCAGTAACTGAGTGGGTTAGAGGGCTGACTTTGTGTGCTTGCGATTAAGTGCCCGACTCTGAGGGTTCGATTCCCAGATCGGACTCAACCCAATAAAAAAGTACTAGAATCTGTACTTTACTGAGAAAGAGTAATCCCCAATATAACTAAATAGCATTGTTCATACAAAGTTTCTACTTTATCATTCTTTTTAAAGGCTTCCACAATTTCATCACTTCCACATGTTTCTTGGTTGTGTTGCCAGCAGGTGTGTTTGTTGCTGGTCCAACCTGGGTACACATCATCATCGCTTCCATCCTCCCACTTTACACCTACAGTAGAACATTTCTATCATGGTTTTTTTAAAATAATCCTGTAAAAAGAAAACTTTCAAAGTAAATATCAGTCCTCACAGTTCTATATTTAATTCTTATAACAGAACTTCATGGATTTATCTTCTTCAAGTTTTGAGTCACAGTTCTAAACCTTGGAGTTCACAGGGAAGAAATGGGTGAGAGGCGGTAAGTGATAGGGATTTATTAGATTGTTCCTGATCAAGCTTGTAGCTGTTGATAGATGGGGACTTCTTTCATACAAGAATATCACCAACTGACACCTAGCCTGGGTGTTCCTTGTATGATGCATGAGTTGTACGAGTTAAACCCTGGAACAAATACCAACATGTATATTTACCCTGTGCAGTGACATCTGGAACACATCTGCAGCACACATGGCACATATCCAGACACCTCCCCACTTAAACAGAACACATCTCGGGCACCATACTCAGTATATCGAAACTCTCATCAAATCTTATAACAAAATATATTTTATTCTGAAAACTTAACATCATCTTCAATAGGAAGAATATATACTTAAAATGTTGGAACGTCTGTGAAAAAAAATTCACAGCCATAAAAATATTTGTAGTAAACACACGGCTGCCTCACTGACTTTGGCACATCGAGGTCCACGTAGAAACAGCCCCACTGCTGGGACCAGCTGGCAGACGGCCACTCCATAGAATTACAAGCACATCAAAGCTTGCTTGCAGGGGTCACTTTGGCCTGTTCCTATGGTCAGAACAACAAAATAGACATCATTTGCAACTCTGTAAATGGGAGTCTTGCAAAGAGGCATGGGCTTGGACTTGGTTCCTGGAAAAGGCCAGCTGGAACCACAGTTGAGACACATACAACCCATGAACGAAGTGCTGAAACTGGACTGCATCAGCATGCCTTCAAACACAAAACACCAGCAAAAAGCTCTGGGTGGTTGTGGACATTTTCCTTTCCACTGACATAAAACAAACACTGTGGCTTTTCTATGAGGACACACTAAGATTTCAAGGACAACAGGATGAAAGGCTTGGGCCAGGTTTCCCTGAAACTTGTTGTGGTTACGGTTTCTAGCACATCTGGGCACCACCATGTTTCCCTGTTATTGGGATCGACGAACATGGCTACCAGCGCACACCCACCCTGAGACAGGTTTCATCTCATTCACTGGCTGCTTTCACCACATTCACTGGCTGGTTCTACTGCGAGGGGCACCGAAACTTGAACAACATATGGATAATGTTGATCTTCAATTTTGAGAGGACAATTCCTCTGTAGCTGTACTTCACACTACAAGAATGGACGCCAAATGATGGAATTTTGATGGAGTCAAGAAGGTTTTGAAGAGTTACATAACTGTCTTGTCGACTTCTATGGGTGAGGAATCACCTTTGTCACTAAGCAGCAACTGAGAATTCCTTGAAATAAAACTTTTCACATTTTCACTGGTGTACAGCAATTGCCTTCCTCAACCACGGAACGATTTCATCAAACAATCAAAATCACATTCATTTCACACATGTACGTTTATTTCACATACCTAAAAGAATGAGTACACATCACTTGGGAAGCAACAAGTAAAACCATCTGTCACAATACTGAAGCACTGGTCCACAAAATATAATTAATTCAATTTCTTGATCCAACAAGGCTCCTTCCGGATAAAGAAATACCACAAAAACACAGGCTATTATATTAATGAGTATGCCATGCACGTATTACACAACACATATAATCTTGCCATCATCTGGGAAAGCGCCTCTTCCAACTACAAGCGGAGTAAGGGTTAGCCCTAAACCGACATAAGCCTTGACTGGGAAGGCCACAGCTAGGCTCATCACTGGCAACACATCCTACACTCTCCGGGAACAGTTTCCAGCATTCTAATTTCCAACTTTGACAACATCTTGTATTAAATTTTGAACACAACAGTGAATCAGCTCATTTTCCCCCAAACCAATGAATTTCCAAAACACATCTTTCAGATTTTCACAAAAGTGAGTTCATTGTGTTGAACTTCCTAATCGTGCATACTTTCTGTTGGAAAAGAAACTTGCTTCCGTTAAGAAAATCTAAACGTTGTCATGGTTGAAAACTGTTCTGTGTGGAACTACACAACGACCCTTGTAACACTGTAACAACAAACTACTATTCACCAGATTCACGTGGCACTTCCCATGAACATTTCTTCGACTGGCTCTCACTGCTTGGAATGGAAAGTGTATGGAGCACATTGTTCACAGTTTCCCACTGTGGTTGTAGCAGATAACCACATCATAAGGAACATGTGGATGATAGAAGCTTTCCTTTTTCCAACACTAAAATTTGGCACAGTTTTCACACATCCATATTTTCGAATCAATTCCCATTTATTCATGTCTTCGGTATTAAGAATCCTCCTTCAATCTCCTTCGAAACTGTGACTTTACATGACCTGTAAAAAGTATTCTTAATTAATTACTGCAAACAGATACAAATAATATACATGTATTCAATGATAATAATCTCATTACTGCAAAAAACCCAATTGTCTTGTATGAGGTATAAAAGTTGATTTAAAATACATGTATGTTCAGTCATGCAAATAGTTGTACCTTTCTGGATTGTAGGAGCACCATCTACTTGTCACTCTACAAAGCTCACAAACAAACATAACAGAAAGCTGACTTGTCTATAATATCAATTTGACTTCTTCAGACTCTCCTTCTGTGTCGACACTGCATTAGACCTGAATCGAAACTGTGGTAATGTCTCCTACAGTTGCTGAAATTGTCATAACGTATCCTGGGCCCTTGAAGTTGTATAAGGGGTAACATGCATTACAAACTAACACAAAAAGATAAATCTGTTCTCAAGGCGGGCGAGTGAGTATGCTTTCAGCAATATTTAAGCAATATCACGGCAGGGGATACCAGAAATAGGCTCCACACATCGTACCCATGTGGGGAATCGAACCTGGGTCTTCAGCATGACGAGTGGACGCTTAACCCAGGCTACCCCACCACCCCGTCCTCAAGGTGAGTGACAACAGATCAAACCTTGGTGCAGCAACAACGTTCATTATAAATAGCTCAGAAACAAATACAAAACCTTTCTGTTTTTTTTTTGTAAAGGAATATGTAATATACTCAAGACTCATAACTACTTACAGACAGGTCTCACATTGATGAGAGGCACCTAATACACTGACACACATGTGTGCACTGATATCTTACCTCAACAGGTTAAACAGGGCTGGACGTTGTTTCATAGGATGAACTGAAATTACAAAGACAGACTTTCCTGTAAATATCATAGGAGACCAATATTACACTAATACATAGAAAGCATTGGGAGAAGAAATGAGAATTGGCACTACAGTCAAATATCCCCATATGCTAACCAGCAACTACCTAAGTACAGTAACCATAGTTACATCAATGCTAAAATTCTGTATGTCTTTGTTAAAGTAATGCTAAAACTTATCTGGGAAACACTTTCCTTTCCCAAAAAATCACAACTATTTTTTTAAGAGATGCAAATGCAAACTGTCTAAGAACAGCTGATTCTGTTACACCCAAACACTGCAAGGAATGGACTGAATACACCACAGCATCTCTCATCTGTTGGCAGTCTCCTCTAGGCTGGAGGTAGCCTCCTTGAGCAGTAGTCTATAGCATGTAACTATACAGACTGAAAACAGCTGGAGACTCTGACCTACGTCTACATGGGACAGTGCTGGAGACTGACCTACGTCTACATGGGACACAGTGCTGGAGACTCTGACCTACGTCCACATGGGACACAGTGCTGGAGACTGACCTACGTCTACATGGGACACAGTGCTGGAGACTGACCTACGTCTACATGGGACACAGTGCTGGAGACTCTGACCTACGTCTACATGGGACACAGTGCTGGAGACTCTAACCTACGTCTACATGGGACACAGTGCTGGAGACTCTGACCTACGTCTACATGGGACACAGTGCTGGAGACTCTGACCTACGTCTACATGGGACACAGTGCTGGAGACTCTAACCTACGTCTACATGGGACACAGTGCTGAAGACTAACCTACGTCTACATGGGACACAGTGCTTGAGACTAACCTACATCTACATGGGACACAGTGCTGGAGACTCTAACCTACGTCTACATGGGACACAGTGCTGGAGACTGACCTACGTCTACATGGGACACAGTGCTGGAGACTCTGACCTACGTCTACATGGGACACAGTGCTGGAGACTGACCTACGTCTACATGGGACACAGTGCTGGAGACTGACCTACGTCTACATGGGACACAGTGCTGGAGACTCTGACCTACGTCTACATGGGACACAGTGCTGGAGACTGACCTACGTCTACATGGGACACAGTGCTGGAGACTGACCTACGTCTACATGGGACACAGTGCTTGAGACTCTGACCTACATCTACATGGGACACAGTGCTGGAGACTCTGACCTACGTCTACATGGGACACAGTGCTGGAGACTCTAACCTACGTCTACATGGGACACAGTGCTGGAGACTGACCTACGTTTACATGGGACACAGTGCTGGAGACTGACCTACGTCTACATGCGACACAGTGCTGGAGACTCTGACCTACGTCTACATGGGACACAGTGCTGGAGACTCTAACCTACGTCTACATGGGACACAGTGCTGGAGACTAACCTACGTCTACATGGGACACAGTGCTTGAGACTAACCTACATCTACATGGGACACAGTGCTGGAGACTCTGACCTACGTCTACATGGGACACAGTGCTGGAGACTGACCTACGTCTACATGGGACACAGTGCTGGAGACTGACCTACGTCTACATGGGACAGAGTGCTGGAGACTGACCTACGTTTACATGGGACACAGTGCTGGAGACTCTGACCTACGTCTACATGGGACACAGTGCTGGAGACTGACCTACGTTTACATGGGACACAGTGCTGGAGACTGACCTACGTCTACATGCGACACAGTGCTGGAGACTCTGACCTACGTCTACATGGGACACAGTGCTGGAGACTCTGACCCTCGTCTACATGGGACACAGTGCTGGAGACTGACCCTCGTCTACATGGGACACAGTGCTGGGGAGACTGACCTCACGTCTACATGGGACACAGTGCTGGAGACTGACCTCGTCTACATGGGACACAGTGCTGGAGACTCTGACCTACGTCTACATGGGACACAGTGCTGGAGACTGACCCTACGTCCACATGGGACACAGTGCTGGAGACTGACCCTACGTCTACATGGGACACAGTGCTGGAGACTCTAACCTCACGTCTACATGGGGCACAGTGCTGGAGACTCTGACCTCGTCTACATGGGACACAGTGCTGGAGACTCTAACCTACGTCTACATGGGACACAGTGCTGGAGACTCTGACCTACGTCTACATGGGACACAGTGCTGGAGACTCTAACCTACGTCTACATGGGACACAGTGCTGGAGACTCTGACCTACGTCTACATGGGACACAGTGCTGGAGACTCTGACCTACGTCTACATGGGACACAGTGCTGGAGACTAACCTACGTCTACATGGGACAGTGCTGGAGACTCTGACCTACGTCTACATGGGACACAGTGCTGGAGACTAACCTACGTGTACATGGGGCACAGTGCTGGAGACTAACCTACGTCTACATGGGACAGTGCTGGAGACTCTGACCTACATCTACATGGGACACAGTGCTGGAGACTAACCTACGTCTACATGGGACACAGTGCTGGAGACTAACCTACGTCTACATGGGACACAGTGCTTGAGACTCTGACCTACATCTACATGGGACACAGTGCTGGAGACTCTGACCGTACGTCTACATGGGACACAGTGCTGGAGACTCTAACCTACGTCTACATGGGACACAGTGCTGGAGACTGACCTACGTTTACATGGGACACAGTGCTGGAGACTGACCTACGTCTACATGCGACACAGTGCTGGAGACTCTGACCTACGTCTACATGGGACACAGTGCTGGAGACTCTAACCTACGTCTACATGGGACACAGTGCTGGAGACTCTGACCTACGTCTACATGGGACACAGTGCTGGAGACTGACCTCGTCTACATGGGACACAGTGCTGGAGACTGACCCTCACGTCTACATGGGACAGAGTGCTGGAGACTGACCTACGTTTACATGGGACACAGTGCTGGAGACTCTGACCTACGTCTACATGGGACACAGTGCTGGAGACTGACCTACGTTTACATGGGACACAGTGCTGGAGACTGACCTACGTCTACATGCGACACAGTGCTGGAGACTCTGACCTACGTCTACATGGGACACAGTGCTGGAGACTCTGACCTACGTCTACATGGGACACAGTGCTGGAGACTGACCTACGTCTACATGGGACACAGTGCTGGAGACTGACCTACGTCTACATGGGACACAGTGCTGGAGACTGACCTACGTCTACATGGGACACAGTGCTGGAGACTCTGACCTACGTCTACATGGGACACAGTGCTGGAGACTGACCTACGTCTACATGGGACACAGTGCTGGAGACTGACCTACGTCTACATGGGACACAGTGCTGGAGACTCTAACCTACGTCTACATGGGGCACAGTGCTGGAGACTCTGACCTACGTCTACATGGGACACAGTGCTGGAGACTCTAACCTACGTCTACATGGGACACAGTGCTGGAGACTCTGACCTACATCTACATGGGACACAGTGCTGGAGACTCTAACCTACGTCTACATGGGTCACAGTGCTGGAGACTCTGACCTACGTCTACATGGGACACAGTGCTGGAGACTCTGACCTACGTCTACATGGGACACAGTGCTGGAGACTAACCTACGTCTACATGGGACAGTGCTGGAGACTCTGACCTACGTCTACATGGGACACAGTGCTGGAGACTAACCTACGTGTACATGGGGCACAGTGCTGGAGACTAACCTACGTCTACATGGGACAGTGCTGGAGACTCTGACCTACGTCTACATGGGACACAGTGCTGGAGACTAACCTACGTCTACATGGGACACAGTGCTGGAGACTAACCTACGTCTACATGGGGCACAGTGCTTGAGACTCTGACCTACGTCTACATGGGACACAGTGCTGGAGACTCTGACCTACGTCTACATGGGACACAGTGCTGGAGACTAACCTACGTCTACATGGGGCACAGTGCTGGAGACTCTGACCTACGTCTACATGGGACACAGTGCTGGAGACTCTGACCTACGTCTACATGGGACACAGTGCTGGAGACTAACCTACGTCTACATGGGACACAGTGCTGGAGACTAACCTACGTGTACATGGGGCACAGTGCTGGAGACTCTGACCTACGTCTACATGGGACACAGTGCTGGAGACTGACCTACGTCTACATGGGACACAGTGCTGGAGACTGACCTACGTCTACATGGGACACAGTGCTGGAGACTCTGACCTACGTCTACATGGGACACAGTGCTGGAGACTCTAACCTACGTCTACATGGGACACAGTGCTGGAGACTGACCTACGTTTACATGGGACACAGTGCTGGAGACTGACCTACGTCTACATGCGACACAGTGCTGGAGACTCTGACCTACGTCTACATGGGACACAGTGCTGGAGACTAACCTACGTCTACATGGGACACAGTGCTTGAGACTAACCTACATCTACATGGGACACAGTGCTGGAGACTCTGACCTACGTCTACATGGGACACAGTGCTGGAGACTGACCTACGTCTACATGGGACACAGTGCTGGAGACTGACCTACGTCTACATGGGACAGAGTGCTGGAGACTGACCCTAACCTCGTCTACATGGGACACAGTGCTGGAGACTCTGACCTACGTCTACATGGGACACAGTGCTGGAGACTGACCTACGTTTACATGGGACACAGTGCTGGAGACTGACCTACGTCTACATGCGACACAGTGCTGGAGACTCTGACCTACGTCTACATGGGACACAGTGCTGGAGACTCTGACCCTCGTCTACATGGGACACAGTGCTGGAGACTGACCTACGTCTACATGGGACACAGTGCTGGAGACTGACCTACGTCTACATGGGACACAGTGCTGGAGACTGACCTACGTCTACATGGGACACAGTGCTGGAGACTCTGACCTACGTCTACATGGGACACAGTGCTGGAGACTGACCTACGTCCACATGGGACACAGTGCTGGAGACTGACCTACGTCTACATGGGACACAGTGCTGGAGACTCTAACCTACGTCTACATGGGGCACAGTGCTGGAGACTCTGACCTACGTCTACATGGGACACAGTGCTGGAGACTCTAACCTACGTCTACATGGGACACAGTGCTGGAGACTCTGACCTACGTCTACATGGGACACAGTGCTGGAGACTCTAACCTACGTCTACATGGGACACAGTGCTGGAGACTCTGACCTACGTCTACATGGGACACAGTGCTGGAGACTCTGACCTACGTCTACATGGGACACAGTGCTGGAGACTAACCTACGTCTACATGGGACAGTGCTGGAGACTCTGACCTACGTCTACATGGGACACAGTGCTGGAGACTAACCTACGTGTACATGGGGCACAGTGCTGGAGACTAACCTCGTCTACATGGGACAGTGCTGGAGACTCTGACCTACGTCTACATGGGACACAGTGCTGGAGACTAACCTACGTCTACATGGGACACAGTGCTGGAGACTAACCTACGTCTACATGGGGCACAGTGCTGGAGACTCTGACCTACGTCTACATGGGACACAGTGCTGGAGACTCTGACCTACGTCTACATGGGACACAGTGCTGGAGACTAACCTACGTCTACATGGGGCACAGTGCTGGAGACTCTGACCTACGTCTACATGGGACACAGTGCTGGAGACTCTGACCTACGTCTACATGGGACACAGTGCTGGAGACTAACCTACGTCTACATGGGACACAGTGCTGGAGACTAACCTACGTGTACATGGGGCACAGTGCTGGAGACTCTGACCTACGTCTACATGGGACACAGTGCTGGAGACTAACCTACGTCTACATGGGGCACAGTGCTGGAGACTCTGACCTACGTCTACATGGGACACAGTGCTGGAGACTCTAACCTACGTCTACATGGGACACAGTGCTGGAGACTAACCTACGTCCACATGGGACAGTGCTGGAGACTGACCTACGTCTACATGGGACACAGTGCTGGAGACTGACCTACGTCCACATGGGACAGTGCTGGAGACTCTAGGGGGACCTGTGGAATTAGGTTTACACTGGCCTGGACTATTCTGGAGAACAAATGTCTAAAGCAGACTAAGACACAACAGACTGGGAGATGGAGGAGGACGACTTACCTGTATGTTGACGGAGCTGCAGCACCAGGAAGGGAAGATGTGACAGACAATGGAGACACGCTGCTGATGCTGTTTAGGCATTAATATAAGAAAGCATACAGAACATTTCTAAAACAATTACAAACTGTGACACAAATAAATTCATTCTTTTCAGTACTAAAATGGATATCTTCCACTACTCAGCATCATTGTAAAAACTAAAACAAAATGTTTATAAAGATACAAATACAGGGTTGCATACCAAATCAGTATTAGCAGTGGAGTTAGTACTAGCAGTGGTAACAGTACTAGTATCTACAATTGAATGAAAGCTACGGTCAGTAGAATGTCCACCTGCCTGGCCGACTGCCCAGGACATCTGCTTTGTACAATCGTATAAACAGTGCATAACAAGAATCCTTGTCTCAAGTCTCAAACATAAAAGTCAGATTATCAGAAAACAATCAACTAGTAACATGCAGTATGTTTACAATGCAACCATGGCGACAATAGAACTTTTTATGACCCGTTTTTAACTAAGGGATCATGTCAAAACATCAAGAAACTCAAAAGTTAAGTTTTCGTTATCAACATCACCCAATCATGATTGTGACCTCAGAAAGTTGTCAGTTACTTCATTATCATCTCTAAATGTAAAACTTGCCTGTATTGCCCACTGGATGGTTGTTGATGGAAAATATCAATGAGCTCGCACCACAAAACAATAGTATTCTTTCAGCTTCATCAGTTTGATAAAAACATCCCTAACACATAGAAAAAATATGTATAATGGAAGTCAGGACATGGACAAGTCTCAAAAATTAGACAATTGCCCTCCAACAATAAATTATATGACAATGTTTGCTCAGGGTCTTATAACATGAACTGATGTTGACCTAATGATTTCCTTTACACAAGCAAAAGGCTACCAGAAGTTCTAGAAAAAATAAACCCTTCTTCCTGCTTACTTGTTACCACTGAACCACATACAGTTGTGTTCTGACAGGTAGATCCAATCACTTTAACTATTGCATAAACATGAGATACAAGATGTTTCTGCATGAAGGACCCGACAGTCGTATCCCAGTCATCATAAAGTTCAGTATCATATAGTAGTATGGCACATAACAAACAATTATTGCAAGATTGACTCGCAGAATTTCTTACAATGACGAATGAAGAAAGTGTACTAACATCAAGGGTATTATCAAAGTATTTGGGTGTAAGAAGTAAATCACATGGTTGGATGTAAAAACAGTTCAGACCGATCCACACCATGTTACACTCATGATAGTCATCGCGTAGTTACCATGGTTACAGTGGCATTTCCTCTGGTTTTCGCAATGTTCATAAATATGGCCTGTGCAAAACATTTTCATTTTGAGCCCAAATAACATCTTCATTTTGAATGTTTACAGACAGATGGCTTAATGTCATTTTTGCAGCCATATGTAAACTACACTTCGGCTTCACACAAGGAGGCACAGGCCTAATTCAGTGGACACTGAACAGGCTTTCCATGGAAACGTCAATGGACATAACAACATTTCTGAATCAAATAACTCAAATTATAGGAAGAGAAAAGTTCACCTAGAACTTTACCTACAAACTCAGGTGGAAGCTACATCAAATTAAAGCTTTTAAAAACGATATAACAAAGACAAAATGTCTGTCACAAGGTCTTCCCAAGCACAACTACGCAGCTCCAAGGACAACCACTACCACCAAATAGTCTTCTTTAGCAGGATCGGCAGGGAGCTGAGGTGCACGCTTCTGGAGAAAGCTGTACCCAAATGTGCAAGGAGGAAATGCATGAAGCACACCAACATTGTTCTTGTCCTGGGATGGATTGGGAGGGAGAGAGATCACACCAGCAGCTTCCTTCTGCTTCAGGTAAGTCACCAGATTCTTGAGAGGTCTTGGTTGAATGGATCCACTAGGGTCCTCATAACTCTGTACAGTACTTGGTAATGCTAACAGGATACAATGGCCATGTGCCCCAGAGCTCTGAATGCGACGACCTACATCATCCAGTTTAGGTTGATCTAATCGGAGACGCTGAGTAATTTTGAGAACAGGGGATTCTGTTGTAGTTGGGTCTCTCATCAAGTTGTCTACTATTGTCACATCCCCACTCACCACATGCATACGAGCAGCGAATGAACTACTTTTAAGTATCAATGCACCATTCCAAGCAACAGGTAAACACTTAGCTAAATCAGACAATGAACCAACGTGGTCAGAAATATTGAGCTCCTTGTCACCTTCAAGTCTCCGCCCATTCCGCCCCATTCTTTCATCACATTCTTTCCCTGATTCACCACTAGTCCGCCGAAAAGTATCATGGTCCTTCATTCCTTCAACGCCCACCGAATTCACGAGGTCTGTCTGGTGACCTTGACCTACCAGAACGATGAATACCAAGCTCACCTGGAGATCTAGGTCGTCTCTGACGCTCACTGTGGTCACTTAAATGATCCCAATCATCTCTCCTCCGTTCAGAATCACGTGGATTGTCAGGATTGCGATATGCATTCATTGGATCACCTCCAGAAACATGCCAATCATCACGACGAGATCTCCGGTCAGCTAGACCATCAGAACCTTGGCCTTTCCATGGACCACCCTTTTCTCCAACTTCAAAACCTCGTCCCTGGTCCAAGTATGGGCTGTCTTGCTCGGACACATTTGCAGCGATTGTGTTGGGGTCTGCAAAATCCACACGAAGACGTCTGTTGTGTCCACCCATGGGCCATCCACGCATGTCCTGACAAGCTGCAGTTGCAGCATCAACCCCATCATATAATACATATGCATAGTTCTTGCCATGAGGCCACTCTATCCTATGAATCGCACCAAATCTATCAAATTCTCTTTCAAGTGTATCATAACTTACCCAAGGTCCAAGCCCCCCTACCCACAAACAAGTTGTTGGAGTCACCTTTCCATAACCAATCTTACACTGGAACTTTCCAATATACTTTCCAGACATATCCACCTTCGACTTGTGTGCACAATCTAGATTAATGAATTTAATGAAAGCATATGCATTTCCCTGACCTCTTTGGGGTCTTTTAATATCAATGTCTTCCACACTCCCATACTTTTCAAATATCCGTCTCAATTCACCATCAGTAATATTCACATCCAGATTTCCTACGAACAACGTTCTTGTTGCTTTATCATCAAATTCAGGATCAACATGATCTAAGTGATGAGGAAATTTCTCATTTGGAGCACGTGGACGATCAAGTGGTTGTCCACCAGCAGCAGCGGCAACAGCAGCAGCAGCAGCAAAGGCAGCAGCATCCCCTCTTGGAACAAATTCTCTCCCTGGCTGCATGGGTCTGTCGCCCCCACCTCTGCCTCCACCTCGTCTATTTCCCATCATGTGGGGTGGAGGAGGGGAGCCACCTGACCCCATGCGACCTGCATGGCCATAGAACATGTCACGATTATTATATTCACTATTTGGGCTGTTGCTACGAGTTCGCTTATTGAAAACTGGGTCCACTCTTACTTGACGTTCAAACAAAACAAGCTTAGCTTTTGCATGTTTTGCAACACGAGCGTGTTCTGGGTAACGGAAGTTAACATATGCCACTCGTTGGTCGCCTGAAACAGTAATTTTCACGTTCATTTCCCCGTACTTTTTGAACTCCTGAAGCAGGGTATCCCTCAACAATGGATCAGGGATTTTGCTTGGAATACTACTTATACACAGGGACCTGTAATCGTGAGATTTCGACTGATCACGAATTGGAGCATACCCCTGATCCATCATTCGATCATTTCTGTAGTGTTTACGTGGGTGATCCATCTCTCCGCGGTCAAAATCATCCCGACGTGGAGGATACGATTTGTTGAACTTCCCACCCCTCTCTCGCCGATCAAAGTCAGGGCTCAATCTGTCGCGCATGGAGTCGTGATCTGGTATTGAATATGAAGAACGTGATCTTTTGCTTCTTGGAGAAGCATCACGATCTTGTTGTCGTTTCATGACGGTTGTTCTCCAAAAAAATTGCTGATGTCGCCGAAAGCTTCTGTTTCACAGCACCGCCATCTTGGGTTCATTGAATAAATTATTTATTTTGTACTTGGTCATGAAGCACGGCTATTTCACAGTGATTCCCACCTTCTGTAACTGTTGAATAATGCTGGTTTGCCGAAAAGTTACACTGAACAACTGTGCAAATCGTAGAAATGAAACACTCACATGACTATATTGTAGCGCGCATTATTCCGCATTCCGGAAAAGACACATCAGCTTCGCGTAAGAATACATAGGTGGGATTTGGCGTGGAAACGGAATTACCTCCCCTAGTCCACGCTCCTTCCAGCGCGTGACACCTCAACGAATGGGCTGACGCTGTGAGAGGATTAACAGTAGCGACATGCAGCGACAGGCTCACGCCGCATAAAGCCCCTGTTGTGTTTCGCTCCTGCACAAGTCGCTAAAATTATATGAAAATCAAGTAATCTAGCTAATACCGACCGCTTTTGCCTTGTCCAGTTTATATAGGCGGTCCAGCAACAAGATATCAATGTGATAGAATGAATGGATAGCAATAACATATATATTTATACTCTCCTGGACAAGTACGGGAACATGAAATATAGATTTTATAATCGATCTCTTGTTGAAACAGCAGGCTTCTTTCAGAGATATAACGGTTTCAGAAACAAACGCTACCCCTCCAACTTTGCTATTCCTCCATGTACAGAAGGGGTCATTCTCGGTTTGAGGATTTCAGTGAAAAGTCGTCAGGTCGGCGTGTGCGTTTATTAGATGCCCATTGTCCATAATGACACGTAAGCTCTCTACTCCGCTCTAATGAAGTATTCAGGATCTAGCAAGTTTTTGTGCAGCCATAGTTTTTCAACAGCAATTGAAAAACCGGATACTCCTTCAATTAAAGCCGGAAGCCCACATGTTATTGTTTGTTTTGTTCTTTTAAGAAATAAAATGTTGCAAACATGTACTTTTTGTTGCATATAATTTCCTTTCATTAGTGACGATTATGTTTTTGAATGACTAATGGAAATGGAATATAAATATTTATAGTACTTGCAATTCGAGTGTACAGTCCACTATATTTAAAACAAAACGCAACGCTTAACACTTCCTCTGACATATACCATTCCTATATTACAACATCAGTGAGATACACGTTGCTGATGTACAGAGACAGGTTGATGCATGGACGTGTGTGTGTGTGTGTGTGTGTGTGTGTGTTTTACCTCTTTGGTCATGTGGAGAAAGCATCCTTCTTCGGATCAGAAGGGTTCTGGTTTGAATCCCATTACGGGATTTCTTGGCCACTACGTAATTATCACCACCTTCAGTGAAGTATAACAATAAGTTGCCGACACAAGCACCACGCTAACCCGGCCACCCGCATGCACCAATCACCGGCTTCGTGAAACAGCCGTTAACCGTTCCTCCTGATACATCCTTATACTGATCATTCTAAATAAAATGATTGTTTTGCACAGCTACATTTGTGTCATCTTACGTTTCTTCTAACAGTTTTACAAATGTCCGATCATTCGTTTCTACAGCATCTGTTTTTCACGACATGGGTAAACGCCTGGCCGGCGTTAGACTTTCCCAATTTCCACAAAATAACACCTTTGTTTCAATGTTCATTTTACTGAAATTCACTGTCGATGCCATGCCTTCGTGCGCTACATCATTTAAACATGAAAGACTGTTGTGTATAAAGTTACAGAGGCAAATAGCTTGTTACAAGTTATGACAGGAGTGTCTACTGCGAATGTTTACAATTGTTGCAGTATGTGATTTTCGCCCTGAAACTGGCACTGGATGCAGGATGCGCTCCCCTCCCCGAAGCCGGGACTGGTGTTTGAACAGGAATCACCATGTTAGTCTAAACAAGATCACGTGACCTGATGGATCAGGCTTGTGCTTTGCAAAATGCTTATATATGGTTTTACGAATTAGAGAAGACAAACGTTTGATGTTTGAATTAGCGCTACCACATACCGACGTGAGGCGGGACAACGTGACCATGCAACTATTTTTGCTTCAAGCGAGGATTTGTATCACCATGGTAACTTGTGACTCCGTACAAGTTGTTTCTGTTGTGAAAGTTTCAGTGTTAATGCTGTTATACATACGGGCATATTCAAATGCTCTGTTTTACATACTGTACATGTTGTATTCTAGTGCTCTGTTTCACATACTTTTTAAATTATTTATTATATATTCTAATGCTCAGTTATACGTACTGTTATATTCTAATGCTCTGTTTGCATACTGATGCATTCTAGTGCTCTGTTATACGTACTGTTATATTCTAGTGCGCTGTTATACGTACTGTTATATTCTAGTGCTCTGTTATACGTACTGTGATATTCTAGTGCTCTGTTATACGTACTGTTATATTCTAGTGCTCAGTTATACGTACTGTTATATTCTAATGCTCTGTTATACGTACTGTTATATTCTAGTGCTCTGTTATACGTACTGTTATATTCTAATGCTCTGTTATACGTACTGTTATATTCTAATGCTCTGTTATACGTACTGTTATATTCTAATGATCTGTTATACGTACTGTTATATTATAGTGCTCTGTGACATATACCGTTGTATTCTACCGTTTGAACAGCTTTGTGTTTGACTTTCTCTACAGTGGACCATGCAATGTAAGATAACAAATTCATTTTTTCGAATCAAATTCAACATCATAAAGCATAGCATACGCAGTTCTAAAACTCTTCACACAAAGAAGAAAATACCCTACCAAACAGCCATATTCTAGACTCTGAAAAATGTAGAAATAACCGTGTGTGAAACGTCGTTGACACGAACTATGGAACAGGAACGTCTTTGGATTTGGCCTGAACAAGGTTTTCTGCGTGTTTTTAAAACACGAATGAAACATGACTGAAAGACAAGTACCGCTGTTGAATTTAAATAATGAATAAGCCCTATAAAAATATACAATTAGTACGATTGTCAAACACTGGAAGGAAGTTTTCATTGATGGGCATTTTAGAAGTTATGGTTAAAAAAAATGATGATACTTTTTATGGATATACAATTCTTTATTGTGAAAGGCAACGTTTCGACATAGATTCTAATGACGATCTCAAGCTGACAACGACACTAGAAATAGAATCTATGTCGAAACGTCGCATTCACAATAAAGAATTGTATATCCATAAAAAGTATCATCATTTTTCACTGGAAGGAAGGCTCTGGGGTCTCTGTACAGGTTCGATAAAGTCAGATAACTGCAGTAAATAAACAATAATCTCACGTGGCCCCCAGGCGCAGCATGCTATAGGAAAACAGGAAAGTCCTTCGACACCATTGTGAAAGGCATCGGTCGAGAACGTCAATTTGCCTTAGTTCATCTCACCACATTCATGTTTTTGACAAAACTTATAACAACATTGACTGCATAGGTAAAGCTCAGATGTGTCAAAAGTCTGATTTCGTGGGAACGGTTTTGGTAATATTTGTAGATGAGCAAGTCTTTCTTTGGAGATTAAGTAATAACATAATAATATATTATGGTGAAGGTTTTGTCTTGGACCACAGACTTACTGGTACAGAATGTCTATTCAACACAGAAAATAGCGTTTTCCGCTTATTGAAACTTGCACGAGTAGTTCAACACAGAAAATAGCGTTTTCCGCTTATTGAAACATGCACGAGTAGTTCAACACAGAAAATAGCGTTTTCCGCTTATTGAAATTTGCACGAGTAGTTATATGCATGCCAGAAGTGGAAATTAAACTTCGAGGTGTAAGAAGAAAATGCGGCTAGCTGTCAACCATTCTTTAGCTTCATAACTCAATTTCAAAGTTATCTGTAACTTTAAAATTAATTTGACTTTCAACTGGGTTAAACTGTGTTTCTTCGGTGCAGAGACGCGAACTTCTTGGAATTATAATTTATATATCTATTTATGTCATACTAACGGATGTGCACTTAAATCTATAAAAGTACAAGTATGATGTTTACTGAAACTGACATGGGATGAATTTTATGCTACATCAGCAGATTGGTCTGTACTTTAACAATAGAAAGAAATGGAATAGACGATCACACAGTTGCATCACATCGGCCGTCAGAAGTTCTTTGTCATTGTTGCGAAATTTGCGAACATTCTAACCTAGATAAATTATGTTTATAATCCAGCGTGTCCGTGCTTCGTGTTTATCAAAGGGAGATAACTGTTTAAGGCAAGGTATATGCGACATAACAGGTGCGCGTTTGATGCTATTTCTGTCTCATAACGTCACTTCCCATTGCGTCGACGCACACACATCCGCCTGCTCGCTTCTTCGCGAGTGTATACGGTTATTAGAGACACTACCCAAGAAAGTTGATTATAATTAGTTCAAATTTGACCTTCAGTGTCCAAGATGATGGGCGATAGTCATTCGAGGCCCCTACAACCAAGGAAGAACCCAATTTCAGACGATTATAGGATAACGGGCAGTGTTTTGGGGCTAGGGATTAACGGAAAAGTGGTTGAGTGTTTCTCACGGGCGACAGGGGAAAAGTTTGCGTTGAAGGTAGGAAATCGACTCTAGAAAATTATGTCAGTATTCTTACGTGATGTAGTAAACATTTGTCTGTCGTTGAATATGTTTTTATGGTTGAGACGTTTTTGATGAATGATCATGAGAACATTTCTCGGTTGATGACAGTGTTAGGGATGACATTCAAGTGAGACCCCTCCCACTTCTTGTTGGGTTCTCTGTCATTTCCTTTCGACATTGTTCAACATTGTGGCGTTCTGTACACATTGACACGACTTCTTTGAACTTCACACAACGCTGTACTCATCAAAGAGAAACAATCAGGCGTGTGATTAAAATCTTAACATGCAGCCCGTGGTTTGTTTCAAAGTGTAATTATCAAGAGTAAAACATCATTTTAGTATCACCCAATATCATCATCAACGTCTTCAGGGAGGAACAGTGTTTAGTCTAAATGGTAGTTTATGATAACTTTGTCATTGATTAAGATTAATATTTCAGAAATGCTAGCTGTTGAACCTATGAAGATCAGAGGTAGAATTGCCTGACATAAGAGGCGTCTAATGGAATTGGGTGGTCAGGCCTGCTGCTGTGGCTGATGCATGTCATCGTACATCCCACTTGTGTAGATCAATTTTCATAATGTCAAACATTGAATTGTTTGGTTCACACTATTTGCAGATTGCTGTCATATTACAGAATATTGAGTGTGGCATTAAACAATGTACAAACCCAACCATGCAGTTCACATAGATCTACATTTTGTCATAAATCATTTCCTTCCATGTTTACAGTTTCATTCACAGGGACGTGTCGCGCTTAAAAACAGCGTTAGAAAGACATATGTATGTAGACCCTACCCTAGTACTATATAAAAGGAAAGGGATGTAATGACGGAACCACCCCCTCAATCAAAGTTAGATTTCACCATGTAAAATATTTTTAAGGCCCCGTCGAGGCCTACGAATCGAAAGCTAGATGATTTTCCTACAAAATGAGCAATAAATGGTCACAATCGGATCATTATTTCAAAAGTTATACGCCACGACTCACCGAAAACAGCTACATCTGCAATTCCACGCCAAAATCGTGGATCAGCCAAGACAGCGAAAGCTCACCTTTTAAATTCGTTTATTAATTCCAGGCAAGTTGACAGCACCCATGTAGGACTAGATCCGATCAGCAGCGCTATTCCACGGGTCTAAACACGTTTTGCAACATCTACATATCATTTCCTGGACAGTAAGCTTGCATTTTCTCCAAAATCATACTCACTTGTCGGCCATATATGACCTTGACATTCAAGTAGGGTATGTTGTATTGTGTGAGTATGTCAGTGTGGTTGGTCAAGCCTGTCAGTAGGGAGTATGTCAAGCCCGTCAGTAGGGAGTATGTCAAGCCCGTCAGTAGGGAGTATGTCAAGCCCGTCAGTAGGGAGTATGTCAAGCCCGTAGGGAGTAGTAGGGAGTATGTCAAGCCCAAGCCCGTCAGCAGGGAGTATGTTGTATTGAATGAGTGTTAGTCAGCAGCGGCGGAGACTCATGGACCTCCTGAAGGTGTTAGCATACATGAATATACATGAACCGAAATATGGAAATCTGAGACAATCACTGGATATGTTTATGAAGGAGTTAAACATATCATCAACTAGAAGGCATCAAGGAAACAGAAACAATACTGTGTTTAAAAAAGGTCCAGAATCTGATACAGCTGTTGTGTGCAGCATGCTATGAACATTCTAGGAGAATTATGACACCAATCTGAATATTACGTGATGAAATATGTATAAAGGAAGCAGTATCCTGCAATTCAGCTGTGTGTTTCTGATGTATCAGGAGGTAAAGTGTGCGACCCTGACTGACACAGATTTTATATGTTGATCTCATATTTCACAAAATATTACTTGGCCTGATTACTTGTCTCGATTGTGTTGCCATAGATACAGGGAAAGTAACGACATGCTAGAAGAAGCACCCTCACCTTTACTCTGTTTTGTCAACCAATTTCGAAGGCAAACCTTATTTGTGAATACACATGTGTCTATAGGTTAAAACACTACACAGTGGACTCTGTCAATACCGGCCTCTGTAAACACCGGTACTCTGTCTACATCGGCACAAAGTTTCAGTCCCGGCAGAAATGCACGTCATAAGCGAACCTAGCTAAACCGGCACTCTGTCAAAACCGGCATTTTTATTTGGTCCCTACTGATGCCGGTATTGACAGAGTACACTGCATATGATAACCAGACTTATTATGTTGCTTTCTGCCCAGCATACTGGAATATAAAAGATAATGCATTACGCATCATTTGACAGGTGGTTTGCTCGATACCAGTATACCATTAATACTGCGCCTTCCACATCCTATTATTACTGTCATACAGAGACCATATACCGATGGTGTCATACCATATCCTGTTTATACTGGGCAGACCTGGTTCTTATAGTTTCAAACAAGTTCGGCTGTCCGGCCAGTTTATGCAGGGCCCGGACCTTCAAGCTTCATTGTCTGTGACGGTGATGGAAGTTTGTGCAGACTTGATTGGGTTTTCTGTATGGATGCATCTCTGGGGATTACCTGTGTTGGGTTCACTTGCTGAAACACACAGCCATACAGACTTCTATAGACAAGAGACTGGGGGGACTTTTACCCCTGTCTGATGATCACAGATGTGATGACTGTGATGTTGGTGACGTGCATGCTGATGGAGCTTGCTTTGTCACACTGCACACTGCTCACTTCATGAAGCATGTTGATGACTTACACATTATGCATGCAAGGTGATTATGTGAGGGGGTGTGGAAGCCGTGTGCACCACACAAGGGGGATAACTCTTGCATCATTATTGAATCACAACACAGCAATATACACCATTCTTGTGTTCTTATTATAATGTTAATCGATCAATACTTTATCAAACTTACAAGTTACAAGAAGTTAAGGACGAGATAAATTACTTGAAAGCTAAAGTTTGTAATTGGTACGATAAAAAGATGGCAAGACATCTTAGATTTTGTTTGATGGAAACACCCAGTTCAGTTTCATTGTGAGCTGTGATATCTGAAGATAGTTTGTGAGGTTTTCCTGTATAATATGGCCGCTCGGGAATGAATTGCAACGCAGATCTGGATATAAATTGTTCAACTACGTTGTCTAAGAATGGTAGCAGATGAGAATAGATTCCCAATACACTATGTTTGTAATCCTGGAGAGGAAGGGGGGTGGGAGAATGGGTAGACGGGGTAGCACTAGAACCCAGTATACTGCGTTTGTCTCCCTCTTGGGGGTTTTCCAGGAAAGATAGCTAACCAGTATGGTTGTGACAACAGCTGAAGGTTCCTGGTCATGCAGTCTCAGCTGTTTATCTGGTGTTAGCTTTATTGTATACAGTCTGCATTGATGCATGTTAGGTGCTGCTGGCGGAGTGGAAGACAACATTCACTCACCAGTGTTGGAAATAATGAAACCCTTGACATGATCTTTATGACGTTTAAAATTGCAGCCATTTGGATGGAATAATGTGGAAACAACAGTACAACAGAGTGGTATTGTTGAGACAGAGGGGGGCACAGATTCAAGTGCAGCAGTCTTCAAGGGCCCAGAGATCTTCTTTATTTTTAACATAGGCCGGTGATGTTGTGGATGCAGTGATGGAGTTGACTATTCACTGATTGTGTTTTCTGCTCTGCAGGTGCTCCGAGATGTCCCCAAAGCGAGGAGAGAGGTCGACCTTCACTTCCGCGCATGTCATGGGTGCTGCCACATAGTTCGTATTAACGATGTTTACGAAAACAACTACTCAGGGCAACGATGTCTTCTGGTTGTCATGGAGTGGTAAGTTCTGTCTTACAGAGTGATGTAGCTGTGTCAGGATCATATCACTCCATTTCCAGATTTGCCAGAATGATATGTTTGTGATGGGAGCTGACTGATCAGCCCCGGATGTACCAGTGAAGCAGTAGATAATGTTCTTGTGATATGTGATAATTAACTAATACTCCATTGTTCTGGTTACTGGCCTGTAACTATACTCCTGCTTGTGTGTCAGTAAATGTTATATTCTGCAACTGTCACAAGCTTTTCTCTGACGGTTTGTAGATGCATGAAAATAACTTTTTTTCTGATCATCCTCACTTACCATGAGTGTTATGTGTCCCAGGGATGTATCTAGGCTTCCAAAGGAGGTGCCCTTCACAGGCAAATTGGAAAAGGTGTTATTACATTGGTATTTAACTTTTAAGAAAAAAAAGTAGTTATAAATTCAAATGTATTTCAACACAACTATCATCAGTGTGAAAGGGGCGGTAGGGTAGCCTAGTGGTTAAAGTGTTCGCCGAAGACCCAGGTTTCGATTTCCCACATGGGCTGTGTGTGAAGCCCATTTCTGGTGTCCCCCTACTATAAGCGGCATAAAACCATACTCACTCACTCAATCAATCAATCAATATATATGTGTAAAAGTAAGCATATATACATCTCTCGTAACACTGGTCCTGCTATCAGTGAAGTCACTTTCAACAAGCCATCATTTCAGAGTACAGAAACATGAATTAGGGAAAATGTTGAATGGTGTTTGCTGCAGATATCTGTCGAGTGATCATGTCTAATTCACTTATAGTTATAGCTGTATGGTTATGTGCTGTATATCCTCAGTCCAGCTCCTGCCGCAGTTTCGTTTCAGTCATTTATGTTCAGCCATCCAGTCAGTTACACTGTTCTTTCTTCAGTGAAACTATCAGGGATATCACCATTTCTTGTCTAGGCTTGTTGCATTCCATCTCATATGCAACCACAAACATCTTGTAGTATGAAGAATGTCCTCCCTTCCAATAATACTCAGAAAACCAATCTCTACAAGCCATTTACCTTACACTGCTATAAAATATATACCATACACTTCAGTACAATATACCCCACCCATTACTATACAATATAAACCACACAAACTGCTGTACAATATAAACCACACAAACTGCTGTACAATATAAGCCACACACATTACTATACAATACAAGCCACACACACTGCTGTACAATATAAGCCACACACATTACTATACAATATAAACCACACACACTGCTGTACAATACAAGCCACACACACTGCTGTACAATATAAACCACACACACTGCTGTACAATATAAGCCACACACATTACTATACAATATAAACCACACACACTGCTGTACAATATAAACACACACTGCCACACACACACACTGCTGTACAATATACCACACACACTGCACAATATAAGCCACACACATTACTATACAATACAAGCCACACACACTGCTGTACAATATAAGCCACACACACTGCTGTACAATATAAGCCACACACACTGCTGTACAATATAAGCCACAGACATTACTATACAATACAAGCCACACACACTGCTGTACAATATAAACCACACACACTGCTGTACAATATAAGCCACACACATTACTATACAATACAAGCCACACACACTGCTGTACAATATAAGCCACACACACTGCTACAATATACAATATAAAACACACACACACTGCTGTACAATACAAGCCACACACACTGCTGTACAATATAAACCACACACACTGCTGTACAATATAAGCCACACACACTGCTGTACAATATAAACCACACACACTGCTGTACAATATAAGCCACACACACTGCTGTACAATATAAACCACACACACTGCTGTACAATATAAGCCACACACACTGCTGTACAATATAAACCACACACACTGCTGTACAATATAAGCCACACACACTGCTGTACAATATAAGCCACACACATTACTATACAATACAAGCCACACACACTGCTGTACAATATAAGCCACACACACTGCTGTACAATACAAGCCACACACACTGCTGTACAATATAAACCACACACATTACTATACAATATAAACCACACACACTGCTGTACAATACAAGCCACACACACTGCTGTACAATATAAACCACACACACTGCTGTACAATATAAGTCACACACATTACTATACAATATAAACCACACACACTGCTGTACAATACAAGCCACACACACTGCTGTACAATATAAGCCACACACACTGCTGTACAATATAAGCCACACACATTACTATACAATATAAACCACACACACTGCTGTACAATACAAGCCACACACACTGCTGTACAATATAAACCACACACACTGCTGTACAATATATGTATAACAAGCCATACACTCTGACAGTTATAGTGCAATACACTGCTCACTACACAGTATATCTACAGTGTAGGATTTTTTGGTCACATTTGTGACATTTTTATGAGCCTGATCCATATTTGTGATGAGTCATTTTTGCCTCATCGCTATATGTGTCTGTCCAATCTCCTTTCACTCTTATATTCTGAGTTGGTACTTCCCTTTCACATTCAGGAAGAGCATTGTGAGAAAAGTGAACACAATTTCAACCTCCGATTTTGTCCACATGGGTTTTTTGCATGCACCATCAAATAAATAGTTTCTGTGATCGGTTCAAGCAATACTTGTATATCAGCTGTCATGTAGGAATACAGTTCTATCTCACAACTGTTTCTTATGTCATATTTAATGTACATCTGATAATAAAATAGGAGATTAACTTTATCATTACATTAGCATAAATATTTTTGGACATATTTTTGAGTGATGTGCACCTGTTTGATTATCATTTCTAGTTTACTTTGATGTGTAAGGTTGATACTTCTTGCACTCTTTTGTAGATATTCTAGGCAGGAGGTGTTAGTTTTCTGATGTACTTGTGCAGTTAGTTTTTGGGTGACAAGTACAAAAGAGATGGCCTGTGACTTGAGATCACTGTGTCTCTGTGTCTTGTCAGTTGGTTGTTAACACAAGTGTACTACATGGGCAGACATTTTTGTCCTGTGTTCCTGGGTAATCTTATTTCTTCATTAATATGACTGAAGAGTTTTTCTGTCTTTATAACTCTGAACGGGGATATTTTAGCCAGGGACTTATTTTGTAGGTCAGGTTTTTCAGTCGGTCAAGGGATGCTTTTTGACAGGAGAAAATAAGGCAGGGCTGCCAGCACATGAGAGATACAACTATATCCTCAAATCTAGGGAAGCTAACCCATGAAGGTCTGGGTTAGAATTGATCTTCAGTAACCCATGCTTGTTATAAGAAGCGACTAACTGGATCAGGTGGACAGGCTCGCTGACTTGGTTGAGACATGTCATCGTATCCCAATTGTGTAGATCGATGCTCATGCTGTTGATCACTGGATTGTCTGGTCCAGACTCGATTATTTACAGACCGCTGCCATATAGCTGGAATATTGCTGAGTGTGGTGTAAAACTCACTCACTCACTCTAGGGAAGGTTTTTGGGAAGGAGTTTTTATATATCTGAAACATGATCACTGAGGGGTGTCTACATCATTTCCCCAGACCGTGGGGGTGGTTGACAAGAAACATTCTGTACTGTTCCCCACAACTCGCACCACCCAGCCTCATGTCTGACTTCTTCCACAACAGTAATGGCCTCACCAAGATAAGAATAACTATCAGGCCTCCCCGCTCTCCTCTCCTGACATCCTGACCACCACCCCCACCCCCCAAAACACACACACGCACACCGAATTCTTCCACGACAGTAATGGCCTCACCAAGAGAAGAATAACTATCAGGCCTCCCCGATCTCCTCTCCTGACATCCTGACCACCAACCCCACCCCCCAAAACACACACACGCACACCGAATTCTTCCACAACAGTAATGGCCTCACCAAGATAAGAATAACTATCAGGCCTCCCCGCTCTCCTCTCCTGACATCCTGACCACCACCCCCACAAAATGAGAATAAACTGACCCTTGTCAGGAGCCTTTAGGGTATCGCCCAGAGGAGAACCTTCCTGGCAAGTGAGTGAAAGGACTGGTACCTGGTTCTGACATTTATCTCTCGCTACTTTCAGCATGGAGGGTGGAGAGCTGTTTACAAGGATCCAGGAACGGGCAGACTCAGCATTCACAGAGAGAGGTGAGGGGTAGGAGGGATGTTGCAGGGTCTCGTTCCGTCCTGGGATGGGGGCCTCAGGACCTCAGTCTGGCAGTCGCCAGAGGAACATGTAGTTTCAGTGTGTGATGTCTGAGTGTCGTTATATCTGGCAGACATTGTATCTTCATGGACTTCAGGGGCTAAAGCTCAGAGAGAAGTCTTGGTTGTTTATTACATTTGGTTTGTACCCCAGTAACATTGATTCTAAAGCTATAAAACACTGGTACATGCTTGTTTCAGGCTACTGCGAAAGGAGAGGTATATAGCTTACTGTGGTTCTAAACATATTTCACTCACTCTGTGAAACATTAGATATATTACCTTTCACATTCCTTTCAGTTAACTGCTGTTTAAGTTAGTTGAAATGTGGAATATTTAAATAGATGACATGAGTATTTCTGCTGATGGGTTTTCGGTGGAAAACGTCTGATTTTCATCATATGTGACGTTAAAATGACACAAGTTTTTTACTTCGTTCAATGTTGAACTCACTTTCATAATTACTGAAATAGTGTTTCAGATAAATCCTCTTTACATCTGATTTAAGCCATGTATTGTTGTTTCAGAGGCTGCATCAGTTATATGTGACATAGCGAAGGCCATACAGCATCTTCATTCCATGAACATAGCGCACAGAGACTTAAAGGTAAGGACGCCCACTCTTCTGCTTGTTTGATGATGTTTCTGTGAAATTCAATTCCTGTAAGTTGAAATTGAGACAAATTCTGTGTTGTCTTCAGTTCAATTTCATTTAAAGTTTAAGCATCAATTTTAACTTGGGCATTACTGATGCTTTTGCATAATTTAAAAATTAAATTTTAAATTGATCTTTGTGTTTCAGCCAGAAAATTTGTTGTATTCAAAGCGTGGTGATATGGGAGTGCTAAAGTTGACAGATTTTGGTTTCACTAAAGAAATCAGCAACTACAAGTCCTTACAAACACCCTGCTATACACCATATTATGTTGGTAAGTGGTAGTTATATATGTCCCGATTCTTGTTAAACGCGATATCTCATGAACTGTTGTACCCAATGTCTTCAAATTTGGTGACAGCCTACATTGGGGGATTACCCAGACACCTGTCATGTCAATTTTGGTGACCTTGACCTTATTATCAAGGTCACCACGACACTTTGACCACTTTTGAAACTCTTGTTAACGTGATATCTCATGAACTGTTGTACCCAATGTCTTCAAATGTGGTGACAGCCTACATTGGGTGATTATGCAGACATCAGTCATTTCAAGCATCTTCTATGTGACCAACAAATATAAAGTAGTAAATGTGTTATAAATATTCCATTCTTCAGCGGCGGGGGACATTGTCATATCAGTGGCAAACACTTGTTTTATATACTTTTAAGTGAAATTCATCAGTACGTCTTCACTGCAAACAGACTATAAGTGGTAGTTAAACACCCTGCTATACACCATATTACAGGGAAAGAAACCTTTCAAAATTTCCACTAGACCACAGGACCAGTGAGTGGACAATAATTATTGGTCCTGTCTGTACTTCACTGGTCCAAAATAACATTCGTAGATTTACATAACTATCAATACAAAATTCACCCACCACCAGGACCACTACAAACTTATCATTTAGTGGTCCTGATGAATTTTTACTTGCCAGGCACCACAGGACCAGTTTATTTTTCGCACACTGTATTATGTTGTTAAGTGGTAGTTAAACATTATTTAGGCAGATATGGACCTGAGATATTTTTATGGAAAATCTAAATCTTTCTTTTTGATTTTTGATGCCTTAACGTTTTACCATTTGTGTTGCAGCACCGGAAGTCCTTGGACCCGAGAAGTATGACAAGTCATGTGACATGTGGTCCCTAGGTGTTATCATGTACATATTGTAAGTGTTACACTCTCTGGGTGTTATCATGTACATATTGTAAGTGTTACACTCTCTGGGTGTTATCATGTACATATTGTAAGTGTTAAACTCTCTGGGTGTTATCATGTACATATTGTAAGTGTTAAACTCTCTGGGTGTTATCATGTACATATTGTATGTGTTACACTCTCTGGGTGTTATCATGTACATATTGTATGTGTTACACACTCCGGGTGTTATCATGTACATATTGTAGGTGTTACACTCTCTGGGTGTTATCATGTACATATTGTATGTGTTAAACTCTCTGGGTGTTGTGTACATATTGTATGTGTTAAACTCTCTGGGTGTTATCATGTACATATTGTATGTGTTAAACTCTCTGGGTGTTATCATGTACATATTGTATGTGTTAAACTCTCTGGGTGTTATGTACATATTGTATGTGTTAAACTCTCTGGGTGTTATCATGTACATATTGTATGTGTTAAATATTGTATGTGTTAAACTCTCTGGGTGTTATCATGTACATATTGTATGTGTTAAACTCTCTGGGTGTTATCATGTACATAATGTAAGTGTAACCCTCTCTGGGTGTTATCATGTACATAATGTAAGTGTAACCCTCTCTGGGTGTTGTGTACATAATGTAAGTGTAACCCTCTCTGGGTGTTGTGTACATATTGTAAGTGTTACACTCTCTGGGTGTTATCATGTACATATTGTTTGTGTTATTTTTTCCAGACTTTGTGGTTATCCCCCCTTCTATAGTAACCATGGTGCTGCCATCTCCCCCGGAATGAAGAAGCGGATCCGTAACGGGCAGTACGAGTTCCCCAACCCGGAGTGGAGTCGGGTGTCCACAGATGGTTGGTACACCTTTCACCAAAACACACTTCTTACCACTCTGCCCAGTGGACTTGTACCATAGATTGGTGTAGGACTACAGAGTACACCTTTCACCAAAACACACTTCTTACCACTCTGCCCAGTGGACTTGTACCATAGTTTGGTGTAGGACTACAGAGTACAAGTTTCACCAGTTCAGTTTCTGGTGTCCCCTGTCGGGATATTGCTAAAAGTAGCGTAAAATCATACTCGTTCACTCATTTGAAATGTGTTATTGTGCATTCCGTTTATTTGATGAGGGGACTTGCATCAATACAGCATTTATTGCTGCAGATACAGTGTGTAGCCACAGCTGGAGGAAGGTAGTTTGACCAGAGTTTATGTCTTTGTTTTTTCAGCAAAAGAGTTGATTAGAGGTTTACTGAGAACAGATCCTGATCACAGACTGTCTATATCAGAGGTGATGCAGAACAAGTGGATTAAAGTAAGTGTTGCTGTTTGTAGCGCTATAGTTAGTACAAGCTCCACCCCAGCTCGTGTCGTCTTCCTACCCTCGGGATGTCATTGTTGGCTCCAGTTGCAATGCACACAAGAATCTTTATGTTTCCTCGGACCCCATAAATGGATCTGCTGGAATGCAGTGGTGGTGATCGACTGACTTACTATTTCCCAGAAGTTAGTTCAGTCAGATTGGTTTGAGACTGCAGACCAACAGGAGAACAGCCACATTCTCCATTTATGTTGACCAAACCAGTTACACAGTAGCTGATGAAATAGTATATCAAATAGAATTTCAAAGATTTCAACAGAATTCAGATTGACTAACAAAAATATTAAGCTCAGAGATCACTTGTCATTGTCATTTGTTTGTAAACAAAATGGTCACTCAGTAGTGAGTTCAACTGTGGGTCCCCTGATACAGAAGGTAGCTGAGACTTGTGGCAGTCATAGTAGAGAGAACTCTGGAACTGGGTTATGGCTGTGAGGAGCTTGTCAGCATGTCATGATGAGTTGTCTCCCTGGCATTTCTGAAGGAGAACTTCTAAACTGTGGAATGTTTCTTGCCGATCTGTCTAGTGGTGAACTGGTGCAATCGGATAGATCTGTCTAGTGGTGAACTGGTGCAATCGGAGATTGCTGATTTCCATTTTTTCATTTTCTGAATCTCTTTGACAACAAGTTGAAAATGAGGACACTCAAGAACCGTGGAATATTTCTTGGCGAAACTTTTTATACAAATCAGACTAGTGGTGAACAGGTGCCTTTTGATAATATGGGATGTTTTAGATATATTTTTAGTGTGGTTCTTTGTCTGACAGAACTACTCAATGGTGCCGCCAACACCCCTGATGTCGGCACGGGTGTTGCGAGAGGAGGAAGATGTCTGGATGGATGTGCAGGTGGGTTCAACATAATGGCGTTGTTATCTTGGTTGATAATTCTATATTGACATAGTTTGTGTCTAAACAACTCAGGATCTCATAATTGTACAGAATGTGCTGTTGAATGAAAGCATGCAAGTGTCTTGTGGTGGTCCATGTGATTTTGGATCATTTTCTCCCAAGTTCCATATGTTTGTGTCATGTGCATTAATTTTCTGGGATCATTACTGATCACATCTATCTCAGGTTATTGAAAGGTTGCCATCACTTAAACAGAAACAAATATTCGTAATATCAATCAACTACTTATAATATCAATCATGTGTTTGTCTGGTCCAGTTTGTGACATGATGTTTCATATAGTTGTGAAAAACACAAACAATAGCAAACTCAATCAGTGAATAGATTTAACAATAGGTGAGCTTCTGTCCCTTCAGTACACTGGTTTCTTTTCTTGTTCTAACAGGAGGAGATGACCAACGCACTGGCCACTATGAGAGTGGACTATGACCACTGTTGCAACATCAAGAACCTATCTGATTCCAACAACCCCATTTTGAAAAAACGACGAACACAATCAGGCAAGACCAAGGGGGCTGAGGCTTCGTAGACTCATCTTCCATCGCCACCTGAATCATCATCCAGCAACAGCCAGCAGGCCGGAACACCACGAGAGATATTCATTTATTACCCTTAAGGACATATTGAGGAGGTATATACTAGACAGTGTTGAAGGGCAAATGGTGCATGGTTCTGCTGGCAGGTGCTTGGTGGGGAGCAGCCTGTATGTCGAGGACCAACATGTAACATGGGCCTCATAGTGGGTGGGCATTTAGGTGACTCCAGTTTTGATTCTATGCCAGATGAATTTCACAGACCAATGTCATATTTTTTTGGATTTCCCAGACCAATATCGCTCACAAAAAGGGAACAATTATCTGACTCCTGGTGAGTTACTTATAGATAACATAAGAACAGGATCTCGTCGGTGATATTTCTTTTTGTTAAGAAGGTAGGATTATCTTGGAAGAGGGATATGACTTGGTCTGGACTGTTGTGTGAGTCATCCTGTTGTCAGTGCTCCCAGTCTTCAGCCCCACATCAAACCGTGACGGCTGAACAGTTAGTAAACTCACTTATAAACATCCTGTTTTGTAGAACATGCTAAACATTGTTCAGTTCTGCTTGTTATTGTTATTCAGTTTTGAAGCTGCAACTTGTGAAGTCAACATGTTTGTTACAGTGAAATGTATTTGTTCTTTTAGGCATTTTATGGCAGTTTTGGCAAACAGACATTTAGTTGAGTGGATAAGTCTCAGTTGAGGGAATTATAAGATATATTTAACACTTATGGAATAATTTTGGCTCTGGGATGAAGGCCGGAACGGAAAAGGAAAATTGACAATGATATTTCTTGTTGTCTCCCTTGGACTTCATACACCAAGCTTTCACTCTGATTGTTTTCCCACCAATTGTACGAGAAACTATTATGACCTGCCTACACTATGTGAAATACCAGCTGAGTCTTGTATTTGTGTTGGTGGGCTGGCCTTTCCATGGTATGCAGATATCCCATACTGATCTGCTTGTCCCCAATTGCCTTATTTGAGATATATGTCAATGATGTGATGTCATCAGTGTGATATCATCATGGTGATGTCGTCTGTGTGATATCATCATGGTGATGTCGTCTGTGTGATATCATCATGGTGATGTCGTCGGTGTGATATCATCATGGTGATGTCGTCGGTGTTATGACAAGGGGACAACAGACACATGGTCACACAGCTATGTTCTTCCATCGCCTATTAAGACATGGACACGTTGCAGGGTGGTTGTGGTCTTCATGGAGTGCGGCCTCATGTAATCAGCTCCTTAAACTAGACACACATCACCGCTACAAAGTGAAGTGATTGTATGTCTTCACAGGTGATGGAGGAACATATTGTCCTGAATCTGAGGAGTATAACTTCCTTAAGTGGCATTTAGAAGCTGGTACATCTGGACTACTGATGATGCCTCAGCCAGGTGTGGCATTTAGAAGCTGGTACATCTGGACTACTGATGATGCCTCAGCCAGGTGTGGCATTTAGAAGCTGGTACATCTGGACTACTGATGATGCCTCAGCCAGGTGTAATGAGCAGTCAGTTTTACATCCGTGTATCGTCCATCTCGACATAGGACGTTAAATACGTTAGGTCCACAAGTAGTAGGTTTTACCTGAGATGAGGAGTTTCACTTGTCGTTAAGCAGGTGGAGGTGCATAAAATATACATGTATCTGAGCTGGTGAAAAGTTTTGTACTTCACTGACTGGGTCTTCAGCAGGTATTGCACACCCATTAGGGGTGGAACATGTCCCCCTTTAGCGGATATTGTACACCCTGTAGTGGTGGAACATGTCCCCTTGAGCAGGTATCGTACACCCATTAGGGGTGGAACATATCCCCCTTTAGCGGGTATCGTACACCCATTAGGGGTGGAACATGTCCCCCTTTAGCGGGTATCGTACACCCAATAGGGGTGAAACATGTCCCCCATGAGCAGGTATCGTACACCCTGTAGTGGTGGAACATGTCCCCCTGTAAAACACCAGCTTTAATGTTTCACTCTCTTGCATTTGTCTCCATGAATGACCTTGAAGCTGTTACATCTGTTACTGGGACAATGTTCAGTGTCTAGATCTTTGACAGGTCATAAGTTTGTTAATGTTTGTTACTACTGATTGTCTTTGTGCCAAGATCGTTATAAGTGTTAGACTGTCACAAGATGGTTATCATCCAAGGGAGTTGTATGGCCTCAGTGCTACTGCAGCTTTGTGAAATTTGGCCAGAAACATGGCACAGAAAATGTCACCCTTTTAGAATCAGAAGTGGATATGTTAATAATTCTCACCATCTGTACAAACTGTTCAACTGTTTGTATTTCAAATACCTCCATCACAAATCAGTAACGAACATCAAGGTCATTCATGATATTTGAATGAAATTATTATTTGGTTCAACTTGGTAAGTTTGTAGGCTGTCTATGATTTGTTATCACATGCAGACTGGTGAGATATCTTTTAGCAAAATGTTTTATGATCATGAAGATTTGTTATGTAGATGTTTGTGTACATGTGTTCTTGTGAGTTACGTGCCTTGTGTGTTTGTTAGAGTGATTTTACCATCATGTATATCATTTTACCAAACTGAGTAAGAAAGGTTTCAATCTTGACATTTTCAGAATGATATTGTGATTCTTTGATGATGATTTCAAAGCAGAAATTGTATCAGTAATTTTGTATTGAAAATGACAAATACCGTGTTCTGTGAAATCATCAGCGTGTTTCAGGTGAAAACAACATGCATTTAGTACACATATCTGTTTCCACTGTGAAACATCAGGCCACCACTGTTTAACTGAAATGTACTTTAAATAAGGATCCGTTTTAGTTTTCTCCTCAACAGGACCTTTGATAAATTACCAGTGATATTGTTTAGGATATTACAGTTAAATACAGGCTTGGTATAATTTGTGTACAGGTTGTATTATTGTGATTCTCTTCAGTCGATCATCCTGTTGGGGATAACTTACAGACACCTGTCTAACGTTCTAGGGTTGTACAAAAATGTCATACATACAGTTATTTGTTTTTTCCTTGAAGGAATGATATAATCTTAACAATGTGATTCAACTTTGACGCAGTGGTAACATTGTTATTTTGACTTCATTATCAACACTGGACTGTCTGCTAAACAGACAGGAGAGGTCTGTAATTGTACAAAGATTTCTATAAACAGTAATTGTGTTTATGATTAACTGTAAATAATGTGTCTGACGTAGGACTGTATTGTTTATTCTCAGTGGTATATGTTTACCCATTCATGATATCAAGATTCTTAGAATAAACAGATCACGGGGTATTGCTGGCCAGTTCATAGCACGGGTTGTGTTGTCCTCTTTAAAAGAGTCTATGTATTACTGAATGAGACAGATTCCTATACAGAGTCAGAGAGGAGTTGATGAAGTTCAGTAGTCTGTTATATCTTCTAAAGAATCAGCAATGAGAACCTTGTAAGAAGTGGGGTACTCTGTCTTCATGTTAGTGTGAAATATAAACCATTGAGTGATCAACACATCTTAAAAGAATCTTAAATATTTTTTCTTATCTTACATTTTCCTGGATATTAAGCCTAACAGTGAACTTGTGAACAATGGGAAAGTGTGTAAGTTCTATTGTCACTTCGTTACTGAATCTTGAGTGTCATGGTATCACGAATGGTGTAGACATTCTGTCAGCTGTACAACGTGTATTGCTCGTGTAATATATACAGAGATATGTAGATCCGTGCTGCCACAGTTACGGCTCTTTCTTTAACAATGAAAACTATACTGTTAAACTATGTAACTCTTTCAATAATACCTTGGAAAATCTACAGTCATGTTAAACACTGGTTCTGGCTCTTGACGAAACTGAGAAGTAATGCTCATATATATAAGGCTGATGAAAAGTGCCCTGAATCATGGATATTAAGAATCATCACAATGTAGCCTAAACTTGGAACAGCTAATATCTGTACCATAGATAATAAAACATGACTGTGTTTATGTATTTTGTTTGTCATTTATGAACTGAGTCAGGTTTCACTGACTGTCAGCATTGGTTCATTGTCTGATTTACCGTGATACCCCTGACCCTGTATCCATTGTCTGATTTACTGTGATACACCTGACCCTGTATCCATTGTCTGATTTACTGTGATACCCCTGACCCTGTATCCATTGTCTGATTTACTGTGATACCCCTGACCCCGTATCCATTGTCTGATTTACCATGATACCCCTGACCCCGTATCCATTGTCTGATTTACCGTGATACCCCTGACCCTGTATCCATTGTCTGATTTACCGTGATACCCCTGACCCCGTATCCATTGTCTGATTTACCATGATACCCCTGACCCTGTATCCATTGTCTGATTTACCCTGATGCTCCTGACCCCGTATCCATTGTCTGATTTACTGTGATACCCCTGACCTTGTATCCATTGTCTGATTTACCGTGATACCCCTGATCAAGCATCCATTGTCTGATTTACCATGATATCCCTGACCCCGTATCCATTGTCTGATTTACCATGATACCCCTGACCCTGTACCGATTGTCTGATTTACCGTGATACCCCTGACCCCATATCCATTGTCTGATTTACCGTGATACCCCTGACCCAATATCCATTGTCTGATTTACTGTGATACCCCTGATCAAGTATCCATTGTCTGATTTAGTGTGCATGCGGTGATCTCCTTGCCCCCGACTACCTCATTGTCTGATTAAGTGTGCATGTGGTGATCTCCTTGCCCCCAAATCCCTCATTTTCTGATGTAGAGTGCATGATATGATCCTCTGCCCACGATTCCTTCATTGTCTGATGTAGAGTGCATGATATGATCCTCCCGCCCACGATTCCTTCATTGTCTGATGTAGAGTGCATGATATGATCCTCTGCCCACGATTCCTTCATTGTCTGATGTAGAGTGCATGATATGATCCTCCGCCCACGATTCCTTCATTGTCTGATGTAGAGTGCATGATATGATCCTCTGCCCACGCGATTCCTTCATTGTCTGATGTAGAGTGCATGATATGATCCTCTGCCCACGATTCCTTCATTGTCTGATGTAGAGTGCATGATATGATCCTCTGCCCACGATTCCTTCATTGTCTGATTTAGAGTGCATGATATGATCCTCTGCCCACGATTCCTTCATTGTCTGATGTAGAGTGCATGATATGATCCTCTGCCCACGATTCCTTCATTGTCTGATGTAGAGTGCATGATATGATCCTCTGCCCACGATTCCTTCATTGTCTGATGTAGAGTGCATGATATGATCCTCCCGCCCACGATTCCTTCATTGTCTGATGTAGAGTGCATGATATGATCCTCTCGCCCACGATTCCTTCATTGTCTGATGTAGAGTGCATGATATGATCCTCTGCCCACGATTCCTTCATTGTCTGATGTAGAGTGCATGATATGATCCTCCCGCCCACGATTCCTTCATTGTCTGATGTAGAGTGCATGATATGATCCTCTGCCCACGATTCCTTCATTGTCTGATGTAGAGTGCATGATATGATCCTCTGCCCACGATTCCTTCATTGTCTGATGTAGAGTGCATGATATGATCCTCCCGCCCACGATTCCTTCATTGTCTGATTTAGAGTGCATGTGTTGTGGCCTGGAATTTACTGTCTATGTCAGTGAGAATAAAGGCTGCGGGTGTGAGGTCAACTCGTTTATTCTGAGGAATCGATTGATATCAGTAGACACTCCTGTGCTGTTACCAGCGGTCAACCCTCCTCATATTACAGGATTGTGATACCTTGAAAGTAGCTTATTTAGTATGTTGATTTGCTGAGCACATCAAGTAATGGTGACAAGTGCTGAGCACATCAGGTGAGGGTGACAAGTGCTGTGTAAATGAAAATGGCTGATGACCTATGATTTGAAATAAGCCAATCCGAATCAAGCAGGTGATTATTACAAATCACATACCTGACAGAAAGATAATCTTTCTATGACCTTGTAATGGATTGATCCAAAACAATCAGAGACCTGCATTAAGAACTTAAAACACTACTTGCCGACAACTGCTCATTGTGAACACAATGAACCTCTGTTGAACCCCAAAACAACACAGATGTAGATACATTTTGATAAAAATAACGCAACACATGAAGTTAATATAAATGCTTTTATTTCACCCTATTACACATGATATGATCCTCCCACCCTGATTTAGAGTGCATGATATGATCCTCGATCTCGAATCCCTCATTGTCTGATTTAGTGTTCACAATATGTCTGCGTTTGATTCCCAAAATTGGTACATTGTGTAAAGCCCATTCTTCGTGTCGGAGCCGTTTCTGTTGGAATATTGCGTAGATCAATGACCATAATGTCAAACACTGGATCCTCAGGGCCCAGACTCGGATCAACTAGAGATCGTCGTCATATGCCTTAAAATATGTGTATGTGCGTCAATCAATGAATCGATAAGACAGGAATATGCTGTTATGGATTGATGCTGGGCCGCAGACCCTCGGGTACCTTGTACACACCTTCTGTGAGTCACTCATTGTACGGTTGTTGGGAATTAAAACCCGGGACTTAGACAAGACGAGCGAACACTTTAGTCACAAGTCTACATCACCATTCATGACGATCAGTGGCAGCTCTCACGATTATGACGTCATACAGTTGCATGTGACGTCATAACAAAAGTTGACTCAACAATGGTTTCGTGAGAGCGGCAGATGCCGGAAACAATGGCCATTCAGATGAGTTATTAGTGGTTGGTAGCCTTGCTCTTCTAGAGAGGCATGGATGTGAGTGATGTAGACTCACTCTTCGACTTTTTCGCCGATGTGCCAAGAGCAAAAAGTCATGCGAGAGAGAAATCTCTGACACCAACTGAACCATTAAAGACTGCTCCGTTAGCAGGTAGCGGGACACTGGGCAGTCAGATAAGATATGTAACGTTGGAAAATGACCTACAAATTCGAACACACAGACAATGTCAGAACCAAGACATTTACTCCGACGATTTCTCTACTGCTGCCTCACTTCACTCCCCAAGTCTGGAGGTAGACGAGGCTTCTGTTCCGGAGTATGAGGACGACTTTGAATCAACGCCCTCTGAAACTAGTGAGAGTTACCCTACAGTGTCGGGTAGGGAGGACTCACGCGTTCAAGGCGGCAGCTCGACGGACAGCAGCGCCGTAGTTAGCTGTAGTAAACGCCGTCACCCGACCCAAATGTCACCGGGTCACTCCCAGCATGACGCTGCCAGGAATATCTGGAACGGAGGCAGGTCTATCCAGGGAAGCTATCACGTTACTAAGGCTGGGGGACATCAGGATAAGCATTCAGCTGAGCGCAGGACCACCGATCGAAGGCTGCTGGGATCAGCGTTCCGTTTGTCAGGACGAAAGGCAGGATACAAGGATATTAACAAAAGGTTTGATGGGAAGAACACAACACACTTGACATCGGGCAGATTAAGGAAACGAGGCGGTAACCAGCACAGCTCGTCTTCCGGTACCAACTCGGGGTCCGGACGCGTGAAGGATGCTGTAGACAGTGAGTTATCTTCGGACACATCTTCTGGCGTTAGTGCTAGGACCTATGACGACATCCACTTGAATAATTTCTCTGAAAGGTCGGTGAAAATGGCTTCCAGGAATAAACTGTCTCTGCCCAAAGTGGACAGGTCTGGCCGAGTTCAGCTGACCAGACATCGAGGGGACCGGTCAACGGGACACCGTGCAACAGGCCATCATGGAAACAAGGCTTCAAGCAAACAACCCCGAACGTATGTGTCAATGGCAGGTAAGGACAATGTGAGATCAGGGTCCAACACACGGCAATCCAGGAAACCCGCCATTCCAATTCCCCTGAAATCGGAGGCCATATACTGTGATGGGGAGCTGTCTGTGAACGTGAGGGGGGACAGGCGGGGTAACCCAGACAAGAACAAGTTCAATGTGACTATTACAGTGGTTCACAAGCACACTAAGTCACGACCGACACCCTACCTCGGTCATCAGACCCGCCAGCCACGGGTGTTGCCGCGGTCTCGGGCATTAGACTGGGACATTGTCCAACACAGGGCGATATTCCCAGGATTCAACACGTCCACAGACCCGGAAGTTAATCGGCGGTTCCTGCAACAGTTTGGCTTGTAGAAGCACAGGGAAGGTTTTGTTTACAGTATAGAAACAACGATACTGTGCTACTTTTACATTGTTTTCGTTCATGTATTGTTACGTTTAATCATAAAGTGTTAATATCATACTTCTCTCCTGACATGTGCCCTTAATGTTTCGTTGACATCTGTTAATAAGGACCTGTTTAACTTGGAGATTGTTTTTGTAGGATAATGCAGTATAACCCCACGTTGACATTAAAATATACACAAATAATTATATATAAAACCGATCTGTTGTATGTCTGTTGTTGTTGAACCATGTATTCATTAATCTTCTAGCTTTTTTACACTGGTCTGTAAGTAGTCGAATCTGGATCAGACAATTCAGTGACCGACACGAGGTACTATCTAAACAGTTACAATGACATGTATCAACCAGGCCAGTGAGACTCTAACGACAAGCAGGTGTTGATGAAGACTAGTTCTACCCAGATCGTCACGGACTGACAGTACCATGTGTGTAGCGAGGTTCCAGTCTTGTGGTATATGTGTATTGATTTTGTAACGCGAACGTTATTAATAATTGAATTCTCAAGTGAGTTTTAAATACGGCGTTTTTGTCCTGCTGGTACTGCATCACTTGCTTGTGCACGGGGACAGTGTATAGCAACAGGTGAGTGAGTGAGATATATTCCCTTATCCGGCAGCTGGATGCAGAAAGAAAGCCCATCAGTGATACCAGTATTTGACTTCAACTCTGAGCACAGTAACATATCTTATGCTAGGCATTATATAATAGGCACTTTCTCAGTAAAGTACTGATTCTAGTACTTTTGTTGGGTTTGAGTCCCATGCGGGATTCGAACCCACACCCTCATGAGAAACCAAAT